ATGAACACAGTCCACTACTATGTGAATGGATGCCGATAGCATATCCAATACCGACTCATATCACATTTGTAGCCCTGTTTACTAATGCAAATGCATCCGCGGACCCGAACCTGTCACAGACACCGATATGGTATTGACGCCGACATGACATTGACGCCGACATTCTGCAGACGCCGAGACCGTATTAGAATCCCCAACATGCTACTAACACATTATCATGATTGGCTATTATATTTGTAGTGTACTTGTGAATGCCATAGTGACCACCAACGCCGACAGCATAGCCCACTGCTCAGAGCCTTAATATTACTTCATTACTATTATTGTAGTAAATTGTACTTATAATGTAGCATCCGCGGACGCGACCACTCCAGCTGTCCGCGGATGTCCGCTGGACCGAGCATGTCGGCGCAATTGGCCATCCGTGCTACCGAGCATCTCCATCGGCGTCCCCTGCAACATGTGCGCGGCAATTCTGCGTCTGCTTGCTTCCGTCACTCACGTCGCCGACCAGTGCGGCATCAAAAACGTCGAGATCGAATCACTCTTGCGCATCGCCTACGAAGCTATGCAAACCTCACACGCTCACGAGAGGCAAACACGGGCTGGTAGTGAGCGAGACCCAGCGCTTCGCCCCGATTCCTACGCCAAGCCCACCGAAGGCACAATGAGCTCAATAGCTCTTATGAATTTACTCGCTGTCTTAGCGAGAAGGAAAGCGCTCGCCGCAATACAGTTCCTTCGAAAACCTCCCACAGGCCTTTCAACAACAACGTCCCTGCAACAGATCCAACACATCACGCACCCAGACATCGTCAGACGCGCCATCAAGATCTGCTCCCTAAAAGCAGAGAGCATCTGCGCAGACGGCGACAGAAAGCTCAAGGATACCGATACGATGATAATGATGTCGGCATCCAGCTCGTATAGCACGGGATCCGAGCTCGCTGCGGCGATATCTACCCTTAGTTACAGCATCAAAGACACATATACACAAGAGACAATCGCCACGCGGATGCTGGTTGCGTCTGTGCTTGGGAGCGAGGCGGGTATCTGGTCACGTCTCAAGTCATGGAAAGAAGCCTACTTTCGCGCGCTAGGATCCATCACTGCAGCAGAGGGAATCTCGAGTTTTAAGGTCTTGGACTCAGAAACCATGGCCAAGCTAAGAGAAATATATGATGGGGCAAAAGCTGGTTTGGATGGGGATGTGCACTGATTTGGGTACTATTACATAAATAGCACTCAATTCAACAGTAGATGTAAAGAGTCACATTTATCGGGTCTAACAACAAGGATGGGGGGCACATTTGTACATGATTGAAAATATAATTTCTCTACTCTTCACTCAGGCGTAAAAACCCGCGCAATTACCAAAGGTTGACGTCTTCGCCCCCGAACTACGATGGTAGTTATGGTACACAGATGAGATATTCGTCCCTATGCGGAAATTTGTGTGGTTAGCATGTTACATGAAAACTGGCCTACGTACGTGAACGGATCGTTTTCTGTGGGGGAGGCATAAGGCTAATTTCTCCTCTGTTGTACACGCTCTCCGGTGTTGGGGGAAGGTCTTTTGTCCGATTCGTTGCATTGGGCGATGACTTGTGTTCGTTCAGCGTACTGCATGAGCTGCTTCGGCAAGATCGCGATCGAGTGTTGCGCTCGCTCGAGTTGGTCCTAGGATGAGCTGAAAATATGTTGGCGGGCTCAGTCATAGTGGGTTGATAACTAAATGAGGTAGGAACGGCGAGGTAACTGGGGTCCGAGATGCATGCGGTGTCTAAACAACAAACCTTAATACCATTGAATGATACAAATCAGACTGACGTACGCTTGGCGATGGCTCCTACAATTCCTATACTGCCCTCCGAGTAAGAGAGTGGCATAGGTGTAAGCGGGGTCCCGACAGTCGTAATACATACCACCGGAACGTTCTCTTGATCTTCCTTCGTACGCGCCTGTACGCACACATTCTCAGAAGAGAGGCCCACTCCATCCTTATACGGGCCCGTCTCGTCCCGTCCACATGTATTGATGGGTTCCAGCGTCTTTTGTATAGCCATACGAGCGCCCTCAAAGCATGCGTTTATGCCAGTGCTTTCGACCCTACCACGTCCGGGACCCATCGTCCCATACATGCCAAGGCAGGGGCTGAGGTCATGTTCAAGCGTCTCAGCACGCTGTACGGCTGCATGGATGTACGTCTGCAAATTCTTGTACTCGCGTAGCCCGTCCGGACGAGATAAGTCCGGTATGCGTAGTGGAAGGGTCCTTGGCGAGGCCAGAGAACGAAGGTGGTTGAGCTCAATGCGGAGGTACTGTTCTTCCGTTTGGCGTGATACGACGCGATCGACAAGGGAGGAGAGTGTGGCGCGCAAGGAGTCGACTTCAGCTCGGAGAGCGAATAGGTCGTAGTCCGCTGAAATAGAAGGTGCCATCGACCGCCGTATTGAGAGTGAGTGCGCTGTGAGCTACGAAGGATGCCCATCATAAGTCGAATATTTCCAGAGTTATCGTTTGGATTCAGACCATGGATAGCTGCGGCAACTTGAACATGGACTGTTTGAAGACAACGCAATTACCATTTGTTGAGAGTTGTTGTGTAATATGCGCTGTTTAAAAATGTCGTCACTGCCACCGACGCGCGTTTCTCCGGAAGCTTCCGGAAGCCTACGCGTTCTCGAGAGGCTTATACTCAGCTGGCATACGCTCCTCAGCCAGATGCACAACGCCCTTACCATACACGACATCAGGGAGAATATCTGCGAACATGTCCTTACACAAGCAACTCTTGCCTCGCTTGCACGAACTTGTAGCTCGTTCTGGCACTCGTCGTTGGACTTTTTATGGTCAGGCAATCTTGAGCCTATATCAATCAGCAATCTAGTATTCTATGTACTCTCTCATGTTATGGTTACAAACGAAAGCGGAGATGTTGTAAGCGCATTCGTGCAACAGTGATCGCACCCGTTATCGTCGCTGATCAGTATCCTATGCCTTCAGGTGGATCTACTGGTGTCGGAAGATGAACGTTGGACTCGTCTCTTCACGCTCACCTCCCGAATTCGTTGTCTCCATTTGAACTTTGGGTCTAATCCCAGCATATCCGATCGTGTTCTCGCAAAGCTCGTTTCGTTTCCGTTCTCCCTCGAAGCGACTTTTCCGAAGCTACTGCAGCTCATAGTTGACGGGAACAAGGCAGAAGAATATCGAGCATCCGTCATGCTCTTCCCTCGTCTGCGTTCCCTGACGATCATTTGCCACCCAGCCATTGGACACATCGGCTTAGATTTACTACCAGAGGTTTGCCCTGAACTACAGGTTTTGAGCATGCCAGAGAAAGAACCGTTTTCCTCGGCCACAGATAGAGCGACTTTTGCCAGAACAGTGTCCGCTGTTGTCCCTCGGCTCACTTCACTTGTAACCCTACGCTGCTTTGACCTTGATCCGCACGCGCTGCTCAGTGTTTCTGAGTTCCCTGCTCTCAAAGACCTTGTTCTGACGAGAATGCATTCTGTGCCGATGCACGAGCACAAGCCGCTTTTATTTGGTGCTATCAAACTTCTCGACCTTTCTTCGCCGAACATAGACCTTATCATGTCCTTTCTGCGTAGGCTCAATACACTCCCGAGGACACTCAGGATCAGGTCATCGTACCCGACAGTTCTGGAATGGCATACCCTTTTCCTAGTCTTGTCTCAGCAACGTCACGAAGACATAAAAGAATTGACGCTCAACGGAGGTAATCAATTTAGTATCCCCCCTGACTCGTTCGACCCCCTCACCACTCTTACAATGGATCAACTGAGGCCACTATTATTCCATGACGGCCTTCGCAGTCTTTCTCTGTGCATACCATGCAGTATCTCAATTTCCCTCGACGATGCACGCGAGCTAGCCAAGGCGCTTCCCTTCCTCGAGAAACTCGAATTCCACATGCTTTCCCATTCTTCAGTGACACTAGACTGTCTACTTATCATTGCTGGAGAGTGCCAGCTGTTGACGCATATCATCACACCGATTGCTTGCTCTATGCAGCTTACATCTACTATTTCACCACTACCGACCCAACCGAGTCTCAAACACCTCCACCTTGCTATACGCGACTCGAGCAACATCACTGCACTCTGTCAATCTTTGGAAAACTGTTTCTCCTTCCTCACCATGCTGCGTTTGGAAGAGAGCCGCGACACCTCCCGTACCGATTCCCTAATAACTTGGAGCATCCTACGGCCATTAATACAACTTACCAACCTCACAGTCTTGGAGATACGCCTCAAGTCATATGCGTTCGAACTTACGGACGGAGATATCAAGGAAATAGGGAGAGCCCTCCCTCATCTCACCTACTTAACAATTCGTGGACAGTGGCGGCTAAAACGAGACCCCTCGCGGCCCCCTGTGACCTTCAGCGGTATACTAGCGCTGGTAGACCTCTGTTCAAACCTGGGGGAAGTTACAATACACGCAAACGTCAGTTCCACGTTTTTTCAGATGACTCTCGGCCAGCGCATCGAGCTACGGTGCGGAATCCCGCGTAACACGTCGCTGAAATTTCTCGACGTGCTTGAGACGTACGTCCCGTCGGGTGACATCCTCGATTTTTCTATCCTTTTAGCTGTCTCGTTTGCGAGCCTCGACTTCTTCCGCATGAATGGCACCGCGTATGGGCGCGGGAACGGTTCTATAGGCAAACCACTTGCGGTGCTCAGGCAAGCTGAGAAGCATTGCAATTTTAGCAGGATGAGCGCAGACGAGCTGCGACAGATCGTTGGATCCTCAAATACAGATGTGTAGAGTAGCGTACTGAGCTGGCCATTACACATCGAATTCATATGTTAACCATGAATTGGCGATAAACTTGTCACAGAAATATCAGGGTGAAGTTCCTCATTACGTGGTTCAGTCTACTCCGTGGATGTACGCACTCTACTTTGCCTGATAATGGGTGATTAGTGTCTTGTCCATTCATAGTCAAGTAGAGATCCACTTCTGTAGGTATTTGTCTCCGTTTGCGAAAGCAATAGCAGCGGCAGCCGGAGCATAGAGGAGGTGCCGACAGTAGTCCATATTACTTATCATAAATAGCATGGGAAAGGAACGTTCTTGGAACTTCTCTTCGGAACTGAGGTATGTGGATTTTCAGGTACCAGGGGTCCGGTGGCTAGGCGAACATTAATATTTCCACAAATAATCGTCACGTTTCACGAAAATCCGGACCGATTCTCTCGCACCACAGCATGCCATTAAGCGCATAAGTCTGAATCTGCATTCCGCTTCGTCATCGATATTGGAACGATTTGCAGCTACTAGCATGGCTTTGGCTGGGATTTTGGACCTAGAGGCAGAGTTGCGATTTGACTTTGTAAGTTTGATCTAAGTATCCCGTTCGATATTTTAGATACAATGTGTAATGTGACATTCGACTTTGCATCGGCAGGTCAAGGAATCAGAGGCAAACAGTTACTCCAAAAATGTTTTGGGAAAATTCCTTGACAGTGAAGTCTACTTAGGTTTGCCAGCCCGGACACTGGACTCTGTTGAAGGAGGAAGCCGTATTGACTTCAATCTCGCCCCATTTGATGATGGAGACAGCGACGAGGAGTGGTGTTCTGTGGGATCAGAGGAAAAGATCTCCATCTCCGAGCTCGAGAGCGAATTACTTAAACGCGATATTCACGTCTCCGAAATCATGCCATACGAAAGAAAAACCGATCATCACCAAGATCTAGACCAACCCCAAATTCTCTCCCCTCACCGGAGGTGAAGGAGAATGCCTTAGCATCAGTGCACAGCTTACCCTTGTTCTCATCCTAACGTTAGCGAAACATAGACACGATCGCATCAACCCGCGGATCCATGATCGGACGCAACATGCTCTAAGACCGCCACCACCACCTACACTCCCTTCATTACGAAAATTATATACGCGAGAGGTTATTACCGAGAGAGAGATAGCGGACACTTAGTAAGTAAGGTATTCTCATCTGATTAACGAATCCTGATCGCTCGAACTACAGCTGTTCTGCCAAATTTGACACTGTTCAGTACGGCACATACAAAGCCCGCCCGGCAGCCCTAATTATCATGACGTATACCTTTCATGCTTCAAACCCGTCCTTGCACCGATTCCGCCGCGCAACTATTGATGTCAAGTTCAGCGTCATACACCCACCGTATTCGGGTGCACTACCCACCCCTGGTAAAGAACAAGAGTGTCCTCCGACAAGTGCTGTTGAAGTCCTCGGGTATGCTCCTCGGGGTTTGTACGGGGAGGTTTCGTTTTCGCAGATGACGAAGGAGCGTGGAATATCAGCTCCGATACAGGGCGGCCCTTCCTTCTTGTCGCTTTCTATTCAACCAAAGGTATCATACAAGGAAGAAGCAAAGAAAGGGAGCTGTCTCGTGATTGAAGGTAGCGAACGCGGGTATCCTCCGACAAGAGTCGTTTGGTCTGCCGTAGAGAATGAACACTACCCAGACGGACTCGCCGGAATACCAAGCTGGAGTACGTACCTTATTATGTGTATCTTAGTCTGACTCACAACGTTTTCAGTTCGAACAGCAGTTATTGTGGGCATCGAAGAGGGCTGTGCACAATTTCAAGCGAATATTCGCCTTGACACGTCAGTTGGTTTCACTGTTGACCCGAGACGGTGGTGCCCACTGCTAGCAAAACGCGACGACCCTGTGCATTTCAACACTGCGAAGCCTCTCATGCGCACGCACGAAGTTCTAGGGCCTTCCTTTGATGGTCTGGATCTCGTAGCCATGTTAGAAATCGAGATGGGAGGAACCATAAGATCGATTAGAAAGTAAAAAAAAACTGCAGGTCGAATCTTGTGGATCATACGGTTTGAGTGTCACTCACATCACGATGTACCGTAGTAATTGAGGTGACCTTCAAACGTAAACTTCGTTGGAGCGGCCTCTGTATTTAGAGACAGAGGCTAATCATCGAGGATATTTCATTTCTCAAAGGGATGGCGATCAGTCTATTATGCCTCAGGATGCAGTGTTCAGCCCGGTTCGAGCACAGACGTGGAGTCCAAAATCTTAGACAAGCAATTGTACCTGTGCAGACGTACCGGCCGACATGAGTTCTAGTTCCCAGTCCAATCAGTCCGATGAAGAAAGGGAGCGACTCCCAGAAAGATAGAGGATGTGTTTGAAGAGCCGGGCGCCATTGTGGCTCGTGCATTAGCGTACTGTACCACGGTTGGGCCGGCGACAAAGAGCGTAGGCACCCGAGTCGGAGTTTAAATGAGCGACTTTGTTCTTTCCCGCCGCGCGTTCTTCATTTGAACGCAAGTTCTAGCAGTTCATCGATGCACCCCTCCATATGATCTCTAAAGCTTGGTTTCTTTCTCACACGCCATACAGTGTTCTTCAATTTACTTCATGCAACGTAAGAGTCACATAGCTCCCTTTGCCTAGCTCGGACACGACCTGGACGCGCTCAAGGGTTCGCAGGCATTAATCGAGTTAACCAGCGGGAGCAAGCAAGTTATCGTGCTAGTCATCTTCTCCTGTAGCGATGTCTATTTCTTATCGCCAGACGTGTTCATGCTGACCCCATACTGATTTGGAGCTACCAACCACGGGGTACGGGGCTTCTAAACATCCCGCGCACCGTCTTCTTTTCCCCTGGTGAGCGTGCCAAGCCCTCGATTATGTTCTTCCAGATTGTGAACATCGTCGGAGGCCGCTCGACGGGGTTTTGGCGGACTAAGCCCCAAGTATAGCTAGCTTCTGCCGTCTAACTTACCTGACGGGCCTCATCATTGAAGCATCGAAGCCCTGGTAAATCGTTCCCAGCCACTCCACTGATGATCCGTTCAAATAGTTCTGGTTCTAGATAGATCTTGGACGCCCTTCTCTCCCGTCTTGCCTCCTCGCGCACGCCATGAGCCATAATGACGACCGGTCTGCATTCGCTGATGGGATGCCTATCAATTTCCCCGTTGTACGTCTGAGCGAGATCAGTCCACAGCCGGTCTTCATGCAGAAATGGGAACGTCTCCGCCATAAAGAAGCACATTGGTTTGCGGCAATGGTAGCTGAGGCGGTACGCACCGAAACCCTTCTTCATACCGCTCATCGCTCAGCATGGATTTCGATCCAATAGATGGGCGTGTTTTGCTATGTCTACTGCGGTGTTGGAGCCAACATTGCGTGGAATACCACTACGATTCTCGGCCAGAGCGGTGTCGGCTGTACGTTCAACCAGCCCCAAGCGCCATTGTTTCCACCGATCTGACTAGTACTAACCCTATAGCTCTTCTGACTGTTGGCTTCGGATATGCCATAGGCATTGTTCTCGCCATTACAGTCTGCTTCGCAACCTCCGGTGGACATTTCAACCCTGCTGTCACTGTCTGTATGATGATCTTCAAAGGATTTCCCAAGATCCGCGCCGCACGATACATTCTCGCCCAGATGATAGGTGCCTACATCGCCTGCTTGCTTGTTTACGTCCAATGGGGCACGTTCATTGAAGAAAGCGTCCAAGTCCTTCGCACCAACGGCCAATATGAGTCGGTCATGTTCTCCTCGACTGGCCCTGCTGGTGCATTTGCGCTCTATGCCCCAGTTGGCCATCCCCTCGGTCGCATCTTCGTCAACGAGTTTGTCAATGTGGGTCTTTCACGTTCTTCAGCACCAGCTGACTCCGTATCTAACGCATCACAATCACTCACTGATAGAGTTTTGTCATCGCACTCGCAATTTGGGGCTCTTTGGACCCAACGAACCACATGATTCCGCCTGCCGCCGGACCATGGCTTATCGCCATGGTGTACGCTGCCGCGATTTGGGGTTTTGCTCCTGCCTCGCTTGCAGCCAACAGCGCTCGTGACCTCGGTGCACGATTCATGGCTCTCACGATCTGGGGCACGCAGGCGTGGGGCGGTCATTACGCCGCTATCGCAGCGCTGACGAACATCCCGGCTTCTGTGACTGCCGCGTTCGTCTATGAGATGTTCCTGGGATCGCATACTCGCAGTAAGTTGATAGCACGATTTCGTATGCGCAGCACTTGACGCGACTATTTCACCAGTACTCACGCCATCTGCTTACCACTTCCATGCGGCGTACAAGAAATATCACGAGGACAACGGCATCATAGCACCGGGCTTCTCAGAGGACGACGAGCAGCTCCACGTTACCGCCGAGCCAGCCCCGATTAAAAGCACAGAGTCTTATGACAAGGGGCAGGAGGACCGCATTTCCGACGTTTAATCTGTTCTTCCGACCATCATCCCATCGATTCCGATTCCATTTGTGTGGGTTGAGGGTCAGCGCAGCGAAAGATGACATGTGGTTTCGGTAGCACACATTCGCAAGGATCCTAGACATGTACCTAAATGCGAACTCTGCAAGCATATCATCCGAGAAAGAAATTCTACGTACTAGTGGTTCTCATCTCGTATGGTGATGACATACGTAGGCCACACCAGTTATCGACATGGACAATCAGTGTATTCAAATTACTATACATCCCCATCCAGCCCTGCCTTTGCCTCGTCGAGCACCCCCTTCAACTCTGATACGGTAGCTTCATCTATGGCTTTGAAAACCAAAGCTTCTTCGGCTGCTGTGACAGCTCCCAACGCCAGGAAGTACGCTTCCTTCCACGATTTCAGTGGCAGCCAGACGTTAGCTGCGTTCCCAAGCGCAGAAACCAAGAACACACGCGCGTTCAGCGCCTCCTTCGTGTGGGGGCCGTCGATATTGGAAGTCAGAGCGGCTAACGCGGCAGCAAGCTCCGATCCTATACCGTACATCAAAGACAATGTATGCATGTTGATCGTACTTCCCTCTTTGTATTTATTATTGCCCTCGTCGAAAATGGTTTGCGCCTTCTTAAAAGAGATTTTGACAGCGCGTTGGATGATATCCGGGTGGGTGATGTGCTGGATCTGCTGTAGAGACGTAGTCGCAGATAGGCCTGTAGGAGGTTTATTGAGGCGCCGTATTCCTGGGAGCGTTTTCCTTCGCGCTAGGACGGCGAGCAGACTCATGAGAGAGATCGAGCTCATCGCGTTTTCGGTGAGCATGGCATGCTTATATTCGTCGTCTGCCTGCTTGTCTGGCTGCCTGTCGCGCGCTTGATGGTCTTGCATGGCTTCGTAGGAGATGCGCAAGAACGACTCGATCTCGACGTTTTTTATGCCATATTGGTCGGCGACATGAGTGGCAGACGCTATGAGGCGCAAAATAGTGACGCGGGATTTGACTAGCAAAGGTATGGGTTAGGGTCCATGGAAATTAAAACATATACATACAACGATCCTTCATCATATCACATATATCCAGTTCCTTATCCCAATGACGTCGATCCGGGTACAGAGCATCCAAGCGGCCGAACTTCCTACGAACATCAAGAGTCCTTTTCTGAGTACTGCGCTAGCACCTCGTAATCGGAAACAATGAACTTACTGCCTGATTGCTGTTTCGTCATCAGCATCACGAATATCCCAGATGTCGATGATCTTCTCAGCCCAGCCGCTTTGAGAAAGAAAGATGTGGAATAGCCGTAGTGTGTACTTCAAGTCCTGTGCGAGGTACGCTAGATCCGTCGGTATTGGAACCCCTGGCACCCAGTACGAAGGCCAGCGAAACAGCATGCTGAGTGCTTCAACTGCCTCGAGCCCCAAGGAAGTCTCGGGGTAGTACTCGGGCCGCTCAAGCATAGCACAGTCCAGCAGGAGACAGGGGATCTCGGGCCTGCATTCAAGTACATCAACCCACAGCTTGGGAAGTGTTGGTGGAGGCACAGCTATGAGGCAATGCACGGCCCGCACCGCGTAGGTCCTGACGCGTCCACAAAGACGCGTCGCCATCCATCTAGCAGAGGTCTTGTCGTTGTTCCACGGTCCCAGAGTCGTCGGGTCTTTTGCATCCTTGAGATCAGGCTCTATCCAGTTTTGCCAGGCCGTGCTGGGATCAATCAACTGCTCGGAGTCGGTAGCTGGGTCTCGTAGGGCGGTAGAACAAAGGGCACACAATAGACGCGCAGTAGTGGGTGGGGGTAGTTTGAGAGGGATAGAGGGCAACTCTGCTACACTCGACATCATTCTTGCTGCCGTCATCCTCCTGAGCAAGAGCTTCTCGTTTACGTTCTAGCATAAATAGTATTTTAGTTCATGCTCCGATAGCAACCAATGTTCGAAACGAAACTTCAAAGGTCCAAGATGAAGGGTGATACTTACCTGCAAGAACGCGTCGACAATCCCGTGCTTTAACAAGTCGCCAGCAACAGCTTCTCGTTCGTCAGCGTGCCTTAACGACGGCACCAAAGCTTCGATCAAATCCATCGCCTGGAAGGGAATCGTAAGGACATAGAAGGATCCCATCTCCCAGATCTCGGGCGTATCAGATTTTTCCTTAGCGAGTGCCACTAGAGGTTCCACCGCACCAGCTTGGATGCATGCTTGGATAAAAACGTCGATTTTCTCTGCAGCTTGTTTGATAGCCGCTTGTTTTGCTGCGGAAAATCTGACGAGCAACGTGTGCTAGAAGATTTGCCGTCAGAATACTCGTGATACAGGCTCAACTTAGGTGATACGCACCAAGAAACACCAAGTGAAGATCTTGTTACCGTTCGGGTCCGCAAGCTTTGCGAACTTTTCAGCCAGGTAACGGGAAAGATGAGGCTCGGGCTGAATGAAAGCTTGCTCAATTTGACGTTTAGAGTTGGTTATATACTCGCTTTGAGATGTACGAAGATCTTCATTCGATGCGTCTTCAACGGAGGCCATGTTGAAGCAGTGCGAGAGATTAGACGTCCCAAACACATGTTAGATTGTGTGGTGGCACCGACTAGCGCCGAGCCAAGCGGAGCTCGAATTGACGTTAAGCGCCCCCTTCCACTGTACGAGCCTAATGTACGCATTAAGGCATGTGGTCTAGTGGCGTTGACGAATGATGCGCGATAACCAACTTAATCGATCCCATAAGCTTATACACATAACTTGTACTCTGATCATATATAGAGCCTTCACCGGACTTTCGAATTATATATCAGCTGTTGATAGGTGAAGCGCGTATACAGGCGGATTTATAGTCACTAGCAGCGTACGGCCCCACGTAGACACTTACATAATACACCTAGCAGCGCACAAGCGTGTAGACACTTACATAATCCATGCCGATATACGTTCACTAGCGCAGTCGCGCCGTGTGCAATTGTCCCGCTTTGTTCGGATCTGGTCAGAGCCCCTGTCTGTTTCCCGAGGGCGTACAAGTCGACCTCGCAAGCTACCCTACACTCCACGACCGTCAAGCATAGGCGATACTCAACGCTGTACTCACTGAAGCTATGCCCCGTGCGCCTGTGACTGCGTCCCGACTATGCTCGTGTCGTTCGCATGGATGCGGGAGACATTCCTCGGGATCAAAGCCACAACAGCCTAGGACATTCCGTCGACACCGAGAAGCTGACGAGCTCCTCTACGCCAAGGAAGGAGCTCGTCTAACAGCGGCTGAGGCCACAAATGAACATGTCCCGCACGTGGATGGAAGTGAACACGGGGATACATTCGACGCGGACGACTACGCATATGACAACGGATTTGAGGCGCATGACGAGGGCTTTTCGGATGAGTTTCAGGACGACCACGCCAAGGAAGACGGGGGTGAACCTTTGCAGGTGCGTAACGTGGTTATTAAGCCACCATGAAATGAGACTTATCTTATGAAATGACGAGTAGCATCGAGGTTATGAGCAAAACCTTCTCTTCGGCGACAATCATAATCCCACCCTTGACGAAGATGACGATACACCTCCCAGCGATGACGAGTTCTTTACACGACTCGTGCGTGCTCGTACGCCTCCAGCTAGCCCTGAGGGCTCCGAAGACGAAGACGAAGAAGCAGCACAACCTGAAGAGAACCAAGAGAATGAGGCACACGACCCTGCCCAGGACAAACTCGACAACGCGTTCAAAATAACCCTAGATGAACTCTACGATTTTTCTGACGTGCAAGATGTCCTTCAGCCCTACAACCACGATGAACTCCCACAGGCTTTTGATGATCATCCCGCCATTCGGAACGTGTACATCCGTGCATTTGTCCTAGTCGTCTGCGAAGGCATATGTCATTCAGCGGCTCAGATGATGCTAGAAGGAACTCGAAACCTACTCACACAGGTCGCATTACAACACCCCGAAGATGAGTACCCTGGTCTGGACAGGTTTGCTTGCACGTTTCCCACTGTGTTGAAGCGGCTTGGTTTATCCACAGATAGGTTTGTAATCTATCTGTGCATCTGTGATGTCTGCTGGGCTGTCCACCACCCCTCACAGCTATCCGACCTCGAGACCCCTGCTTGCACGGTCGAAGATTGCCCAGGCACAATCTATAAAGAGAAACGGCTCTCCAACGGAGAACTCAAGCGTACACCAGTGAAGATTGTGCCTTACGTTCCTCTGGAGCGAGCCATCCAGAGGCTGCTGCTGCGACCCGGAAAGTGGGACCAACTGCAACATTGGCGTGGCCCGGGTGACGAGGCAGGACCTGCTCCGCCCACAGCTGGCTCCGGCTTCCATTCCTTCCCTGATCCCCTCAAACCTATGACAGATGTATACGATGGATGGGGATGGCGTGCAATTCAGGGTGGGCTTGAACGGAGACGAGGAGG